GACGCTGGCACCGTCTGACGCCAGATAAGCCACGGATGCAAATAGAGATTTCCAGCTGCGAGAGATGGATGACGCGACCGGTGATAAATGGTCCCCGCGATATTCGTCCGGCAGATTTCTTTACCGCGGCGCGTTTCATGCTCGCCACCTACTAGATTTTTCTTTTTTTACGCTTTCTACTCGGTGGGGGAATCAAAGAGAGAACGGCGACGTTGAATCTTCAGTGGCGTATTTCGAGAGAACTCGCCACCACACCGTGATGAATCGGCCTTGAATGGCGCATGATTCAGAAATTGCGATCAGGGCGCGAGTTAAGTTGAATATTTCAATTTTTGAGAATAATCAGTGTCGGAGTGTGGTCCGTGAAAGGCATGATATTTCTTGGAATGTAGAAAGACGACAGTTGCTGTCAAGGGTGTGTCAATTGAATTATGCATATTGTGTTTACTCATGCCACTCGTTTTAGTTATTCTTTTCTACGTTCACTTCTACATAAAGCTAATTTGATTTCCAGTGCTTCATAACTGGAAAGAAAATTGATTGTTTCGAATTTATGAAATGAATTGAAAGAATTTGTTTGCGAGATACTCGTCTTTTAAGTTTGTTAAATTTCAAACATAACGTACAAACATTTCAAGTCGATCTTTGCATTGTTCAAATATTTTAGTGCGGATTTGTCGACATATTTTCCATGAATATATTAGATTACATGATATTCGATAATACTGGCATACTTGTGATTCGTTCAGTCGGTTTCAATCTGGTTATTGATATACTGCGTTTTGCTACAATGCGACGTTTTTTGCACGTCCTAATTCACTTTTTCAGGGCAGACCTGAAAACTTATCCCAAAGTATCACAAATATGTCATTTCATAATCATCGTGAAAGTTTGAAATCTAAAATTCAACAATATTATTTTTGTCCAAGAAAAAGTCCAATAAAAAGTGACAGCGTCAAAGTATCTTACTAACTGGAACAATTGAAATAAAATCTAGCTCGTGTACGAAATATCTAGGATACTTTATAAACTCAGTATACCGAGTACCAAACAAACGAAATTGACTAACGTTGATATCGAAACCTACTTAGGAGAAACAGAAGAAACTAACAAATTTCTATCCTTCGTTATCCTTGAAGAACTCAATAAAGTATTGTATTGTGGGACTCTACCCCAATCGTAAAACTATTATAATAATTATGTAATAATTAATTATATAAATATTGCACTAACTACTGTAATATGTATGTAAGTACACACATGAACATAAGGTATTATTGAGTATAAATATGTAATGATTGTACTAACTTATGCAAATTAATTTTAATCGTGCTCAATGTAAGAATAAATAAATAATAATAATAAACGAAATTGGTGAAAGCAAAATTTTCAGCAGGACCGTCGGTTAATTATCAGAGAGAGATATCAAATGCTCGCGTCCTCAATTTCCATTGAAAACAGAAGAGAATCTTCCAAATTTGGCAATGTTTCAAAGAATAATTCAGAACGGTTAAAGAAATTAACGGACGACGTCACTATCTTCGATGATTTCTCGGGTCTCGATCCCTAAGGGCACGAATATCCGATATTACGCGAAACTTTCATTCGTGAGTCGCCAAATCTGCCTAAAGATTCATGATATTCCATCGGCTTATTTTTCAGTAGCGATCATGCGGACGAAATCAAAGAGAACCGGTTGAACACGAGCGAAAGTCGTCAGTTAATGTTCGCGATCGCTTGATACCGAGTCAACCAGATTAACTCGTAATTGCGCTCATTATCGTAGAATTTGATTCGAGCATGTACAACGCGATTTTTTTTCTGCAAATATATGTACGTGTATTTGCGTGTGTATGTAAGTGTACTCGCATTTGCCTTGATTTCGCGAGAACGCATGAAAATAGAGATTAATTGAAGGAACGTGACCAGGTACGGCTCAATCGCGAGATCGTAAAACGGGTATAAAATCCTGTTACTGAAGAACCCGCGTTGGAAATGAATCGCGTTTTACACACGAAAAGATTGATGGGACCCTGAGGACGAATCATTTTTTAAAATTGCCCTGTTTGGGCATATTTTTGGTTGGTTTCCTAACGATCGGAAAATTTTTTTATTTTATGCGATTCTTATGTTCGAGTTAATTCTGCGAGTTATTCGAGGGAATTTCTTCTTATGCTTTTAAATTTTGTAAATTCTTATAGAAATTTGAACTGCCATTTAAAACTATTTTTCTTAAAATTCATGCTTTCTTTCCTCTATTTTTCTCCTTGTTTTCGTGGTAGCATGATAGTACTTACATTTATATCAAATGAAACTTACAATTCTCAATGGTATTTTTATCAAATTCAGTGTCTAATACAACAATAAAAGAGAAGCCATAAAATAGAGGGCTCTCTTTGAAAGAAACCATTTCCTCTTAGTATTTTTACGGCTAAACACTTTACTTCCCAAAAATTTTTTTTTCCGTTTCTTCTTATTATTCTTATTAAGGCAAATTTAAAAATACAAAAATGCACGAAATACTATGTGCAAAAATATATAACATACGATATGTGCACATACATGTATATATATTTAGTACTTGCTATAATATTTAATATTGTACATGAAACAAATGTTCGGTTACGTTCCATTACTTCAGTTGCGCTTATAAAAATATGAATTTGCACAAATCCCTGTAATCTAACAAAGTCTAATTATCACATCATTCCACTCAGAAGCACTGTACGTACTACATCAAAGATTAATCATCTAATTCTTTAAATTCCCTAAACTCTAATCAGCCTATGCTCTACTCAATCCCTTTCATCTCTCGTGAAAAGAATTCTCTCTCGTCTTATCGAAAGGCCATAAATCAGCCATAATTCGCGCTTCGAATTTCCATAATCCCATCTCGACGAAAACAATAATGCAAGGCGAGCTCGAAATCATCTCGTTTCCAGTTCTTCCACCCCGGAACGTCCGACTTGACAATAAAAGATAGTTGGTTGGAGTGACACGGGCCAAGAACGATAATTCACGATGATACGCCGGGTGACCCCACCTTAATATTAATGGTCGCTCGACGACCCCGCGAAGATTAATAGACGCTC